CTAACCATTCATTAAAGCCCAACAAGATGCTTCCATCAAGCTTTTCTGGTACTCCTGATCCATAATGAATCTTCCCCTCCATTATGTAGCCCCTTTATTTTGTGATTTTCTAATAGGCTTTTGAGGCATTCCAGGCCTTTGATTTTATCACTATAAGCAGTTCCATGGTAGGGGAACTACATGGTATAATAATGTATACGGCAACTGTGTATGCTTCTATCTTATCCCCCAACAGAATGCAGAGCTACTTGATGATGGGGGCTGCTTTACCTAAACTTTGAATCTTCCCCAGAACCTAGCAGCACAGTACTCTGCAAAGAATAAGTGTTTCATAAAGTGTTTGCTTAAAATCCTGGATTTTATAAACTTGGTGAAAATCTTCTTTTCAATTATGCAGTTTTTAGCAAATTCCTATGTCCTAATGTTTGCCGAAAATATTAATGACTTTAAATATTTTCCCCTCTTCAGACAAGGCCCCTGTCATTTTCTTTGGTATAAGGAACTCCTGGCAAGGACTCTCCAATGCAGACTGGCACTTACTTTGCAATATAAGAGTTACCAGGGTCTCCAAAGAGTTAAATGATTTGCTCGTGGTCAAACAGCCACAAAGTGCCAGAGACAGGACTTCAACCCAGGTCTTGCTGACTCCAAGATCAACTCTCCCTCCACCATGCCATACTAACTCTTAAAGAGTTTAACATTTCCTTCCCTTCCAAGGATGGTAATGTTCCTCAACTTTCATCATTTTTCTTGCCCTTCTCTGACCTCTGATCAACAATCAAACCACCACTGTTCTTGCTTTCATAAAGCCAAGCAAATACCAACTTCCTTAAGTACACAGAGTTTTCTGGAAATTTACATTTTAATCCGTTTCAGTAAATCCCACTGCAAGCAATCTGTTTTGTAATTCTATCTTTTAGGTTAAAAAAAAAATCGGTCACTTTTCCAAAAAATACATTCCTGAGTGGGTTAGGGTGACCAAATGGCCAAGTTTAGAATGATATGATGGAAATCAAGATTTTGTCCTCACTTTGGTAGAGTGACTTACAATCAGCAACCTTTCTGTTGTTACTATTGACCTGGCAATTCAACCAGGGCCAAACTGATTAACTGGCATCACTAGAATGATTCTTAAGAAATGAGGCTTTGTTTAAAAAACAACACAAAGGAGAAAAGAGAAAGGTCTGTCTCCCAAAGCTAGCTACTTTTCTCTTTCCAGGCAACTGGGGTTAAGTGACTTGCCCAGGGTCACACAGCTAGCAAGTATCTGAGGTAGGATCTGAACTCTGGTCTTCCTCACTCCAGAGCAGGTGCTCTATCCCCTGAGTTACCTAGCTGCCCCTGCCTATTTCTTTCAAGCACACTACAGAGTTAGTGACCAGCTTGAACAAACCACCCAGACCTAAGTGAATTTAAGTTTGAATGTTCAGCCTGGATATATTAAAATAGAATACTTTCATTTAAAAGACTTAAAAGAGTCTTCATTCCTGCAACCGAACTGAGCTAAATATCTCATTAGCAGTATCTCCCAAATTCTCTGCCCCTGAGTCTCATGATGAAAACTTGCTACCCACCTTCTGACAGAGAGGTGATGGGACTCAGAGTGAGACTGAGCCATGGTTTTTTGGACATGGCCAATGTGGGAATGTTGCTTTTTGATCATACATGTTTGTAACAGGAGTTTTGCTTTCATTTCTTTTTCAGGGTTGGGGGTGGAGAGTGGGAGGAACAATGGGAGCTATTTGGGAGGTAGAAGGAAGAGAAGGTAGATTTTATTCATTGAAAAAATAATTTTTAAAAAACACAACTCTGCATTTGGATTAAGGAAAAGTGAGAACTAGAAGTCAGGAGATCTAGGTTCTGGTAGGAGTTTGAATAACTTCTCAAGGAAGAACTCAGTTTTTCCCTGTCCTAGGCAATGAGAAAATCAGATTATAGAATCTCTACTTTTCCAAAAAGCTCTAAGATTCTACAAGACTAAAATGCCTTTTGTTCTTTTAGAATCGCTCCAGAGAAAAGGCAAAATTCTGATAAAAGCCTAGAAAGGAAGTCCCTCAGGGAAGGAGGTCCCCAGTACAATCAGAATGCAAAGGTAGGCCCCACTTCTTGACCATCACCTTAACTGATAAAGAGAATTGTCCCATCTGGGACAAGGAACAGATAATTAACTCAAAAAGGGGATAACAGGCAAGCATTTTGTACATATGTTCTTTTCACAGGATGTCGAACATTCCAAGATGAAACAAAATTCAGGATGATCTTTCCCGACCGCTAAACTGGGGCTCCAGCTTTGTGGTTTTATTGTGCAATGTTCAAGACTTGGCCCACAGGAGGGTAGCATTTTTAATTCTTTGGCAAGGCCAAGCTTCCATTTGAGGCTGTCTCTCTCTCTCTCTCTGGCCACAGTTAATAGCATCACTAACACCTAACAAAGAATGTGAGCATCTGCATGCAGCCCTTACACAGCTTCAGATGTCAGCAACTGTTGCAGAAGAAACACAGACCCTGAACTCAGGGCTTGGCTTTCTTGCCAGGAAATGATTTTCAACTACTTTGTTTTAACACCATCACCCCCGAATTCTCTGTAACCATAGTTCAGCCCAGGGGCTAAAATACACCTAGTCCTAGCTTTTAAGGCTCCAGGTGTTTATAATTTGGGATCACTATTTTTAAACACGCTTTTATATTTATCTTCAAGTCAAACAGCTGTGTTATCTAAATGGATTGCATTCTCAACACCACAAAGCAGTTAAGGCACGCTTCTAAAGAGCTTCACGTGGTGTCCAGGCATAGGGAATACGCTCCTGGCTCAATTACTCAGATCGCAGATGTCGCTGATGCTGACATTTTCGCCCTCACACTCAGAAACATGTCCCTCTCTCTGATGATGGACAAATTGCCTTAGAAGCCTGATGGCACACCCTAAATGATTCATCATTCGCTTCTGATCCCCTTGTTTCCTCTGATTTAGCAGCCTAAAATTAGAGGAGATTTCCTATATAACCACAGCCACATCAACTTAAATCTATAGTGAACCTGGCCCAAATCCCTCTGAGCCTCTCAGAGATAAACTTACAAGTGCCAGAGGCAGAATTTGAACCCAGGTCTTCTAGAAGCCACATACAGCATTCTATCCATCATGCAACACTACTTCTCATGTTAAACAGATACACTCCTAAAAATTATCAAGTACTCACTTGAATGCTCAATACGATGAATGAGAAATTACTAAAAATACTAGGGGACTGCTACATAAAAGCACACTATGAGAAATTCTTTGGTAAAGTAAGCAATCCTTCCTTTATCTATTTTTTCCAGTGCACATTTTTGTAGACTTGATTTTCTTAATATGTCACTTCTAGTTGGCAAAGAAAATACTAGTGGCTGAAAAGATCAATTTATTTTCAACTGTCTTCAATTTGTTATTCACATATGAATGAATGAATGGATGAATGAGTAAGTATTTACTAACACTTACTAGGTGACCAGCAATATGTTAAGCACTACAAATACAAATAGAAAAAGGAAAATTATCCCTGCACTCAAGGAACTCACACTCTAATTGGAGGAAACAACATTGAAATGTTCATCTGCAGGGCAGGAGGAAAGGGCCAGAAGCCGTATAAGTTACAGTGGTGGGACAGATACCAGTGCCAGGGTCTAGAGCACATATAAGAAAGGCAAATATTGAGGCATGGACTAGGAACACCTAAGGATACAGTAGTATGGAAGATGGTAAGGCCTGGCTGTATATTCCCCCCCCCCCAAGACATAAGGTTAACATATAAAACTCTAAGCATGAGGAAGGCAGCAGGGTAAAGGGGAACATATCAATCACAAGACAAGATGTAATCAAAGAAAGGAAAATCAAGGTGAAAAAAGAGAAGAGGTTTCAACTTTCAGATGGGCAAAAAGGGTAGTTGATTCCTCTGCAGATTTTTTTTAGAAACTTATTCTTTTAACTATGCCCAAAGGGTTATAAAACTGTGCAAAACCCTTTGATCCAGCAATACCACTACTAGGTCTGTATCCCAGAGATCATAAAAAAGGGAAAAGGATCCACATGTACAAAAATATTTATAAGCAGCTCTTTTCGTGGCGACAAAAAATCGAGGGGATGACCATCAGTAGGGAATGGCTGAACAAGTTGTAGTATATGAATGTAATGGAATACTTGATGACTTCTGAGGCCTTCTAATTCTACAGTTTCATGATTCTATGAGCACTAATTAAAGCAATGAAAATAATACTCCCCCACTCCAAGTTAGAAACCTACTACATTATTTTAAGCTGTTTGTTCTTTTTTTCAGTGTTTATTCCTCGATATAAATGCTACCCTCTCTTTCTTTTACAGTATGATATTCTGGAAAGCACAGTAACCTGGGCTACAAACTTCATGACAGCAGAGGCCGTGTTTTATTTAAACTTTGTATTCTCCCAAGGTCTGGCACTGGGCTCTGTACACAGTAGGTACAAAGTGAATGCTTGCTAAATGGTTAAATGAGGAGTACAGGGCCCACTACAACATTGTATTGACTCAGCGCATTATCAGAATTTCCATCTATCAATGACAACAGTATTTATTATGACTCCCTGTGCACAGCACTGCACTGCTTTTTTGCCTCTTAAATCCAAGTGTAAACCATAATTCATCAAGATTATCTGTTCATTAAGAAAAATCCTTCTCTCAATTTTTAGAACAAATGAATCAAAGACTGAAATGAGGCAATTACTACTGTATTCATCCACAAGTACAACTGAATTATAAACATCTCACCCAGAAACAAATTCATCTCCATAACAATGAACATCCATGTTGGGGGAAGGAAGAGACTGAACCAAGATTCAGGTACTACTAAGGTGGGGTTCCCTCCAGTCCTCTATATCCAAAGGATTGGATACTGTCTCATTCACTGCTGCAGTCAAACACTGAAGCCAACATGTTTTTACACATACGGCAAAATCATACTGGAAAAAAAAAATTGCTTCAGAATACTCACCAATCCTGCAATGGGGGTGGGCAATCTATTGATCTTTTTTACAAGTCCTGGTTTTATAGCATTCAGCAGCCTGTCAAGAGAAAGACAATATGTTAAAGTATGAAATAAAGATGACCACATAAATCATTTTTATCCAGTGATACAAAACATAGAAGGGAAAAAAGCTGCAAATTTAAAACAGGTTAAGTGAAATACAGACATAAATAGACTTGGCAATATTGAACTTTGGTTGTGGCAGTTTAAGCATCAGTATTTGAAAAAGTCAGGGGGGTTCTTTCCATATAGTGAAGGGTGGAAGTGGAAGGAATGACTGTGAAAAATTGTCTATGTTGATATTTATGAAAGGGATGAAAAATATAATTTTCTTTATATTAAAGATGTGGTCGAAAGAAGAGAAAGGGAAAGATTAAAAATAATAATAACCACCTAACATTTACATAGTGCTTACTGTGTGCCAGGCACTGTGCTAACTACCTTAAAATTATCTCATTTGATTTTCACAACAACCTTGGGAAGTAGTTGCTATTATTACTCCTACTTTACAGATGAGGAAACTGAGGCAAACTGAGGTTAAGTGACTTGCCCAGGGTCACACAGTGAATAAGTGCGTGAGGCCAGATTTGGACTCAGGTCTTCCTGACCGCAGGCCCCGTTCTCTATCCACTACACCAGTTATGTAAGTTTGTGAGGTATTGTAAAAGACAAAATCAGGAGGTAAGCAAACCTGGTTTATGATAGGCAGCTAGGGACTGCAGTGGATAGGGCACTGAACCTGTAGTCAGAGAGACCTGAGTTCAAATCTAGCCTCAGCTACTCACACGTGTGACTCTGGGTAAGCCAATAATCATTAGCAGCTTCAGTTTCCTCAGTTATAAAATGGGAATACTAACAGCTCCTACATCCCAAAGTTGTTAAAGGATGAAATAATAATATTTGCAAGCTACTTATTAAAGTATCATATTGGGCTCTTAATAAATGCTTGTTCACTTCCCAGCTTCCCCTTCCCCTGATAGGATTAAGACATAAACATCAGCATTAAACCCATGCCTCCTTTCTGTCCGCCAAAACATCTTCCTCCACACTTCCTCTTTCTTCCTGAAAGAGGGATTAATTTTCCCCAAAAGAAGACAAAGTGGTCTCCCAGGCCTAACTAGCCCTTGCTTCTTTGATGTAGTGTCATGGTCATCCAAGAAAATAAGGTTTCACCAAGGTGGGGTCAATTTCTGAAGACCACACACATCACCATGTCCTGCCCCGATGACTAGTTGACTTTCCATATGGAGACAGGCTAGGGCTTTAGCGGGATGCTTTGTCCAGAAAACCTAAGTGCTAGAATATCCTTATTGCATATTCTTGCTGTTTGAGGACAAAGTAGGGCTCCTTTTGTTAACTGTTCAATGACTTTCAAAGGCTGACTCATTTCACCCCAACAACAAATCTGAACGAGGTTAATGGGTCGCCTCCAACATGGGGAATAATGTAATGAGCTGGATTAATAAATAGGAGACTCTGAGGGAAGAGACTGAGAAAGTACCCAAAATGAAAGGGTGGAATTATTAGATCACCCAAGAGTTCAAAGACTGGTAGAAGCTGCCACAGCCTGGGCTCCATGGCAGAGTCTTCAAGAACAAGGAGGTTATAGGGGCAGAGTCAAGCATTAAAGGAAGACCCTTCACACAGTCAGTAATACAGGTTTTTAAATGGAACTGAAATTGTTCATTGAGTGATCTTAGGCAAGTTATTTCACTCTGAATCTTAGTATCCCCCATGTGCACTGTAAAAAGGGGGTAATGAGACTTGCATGACATACTTCCAAGGTCTGTTGTGGGGTGGTAGAAGGGGAATGCTCTTTAAACTTCAAAATATACAAACATGTGATACTATTGAATCCTGTGGACTGCAAACTAGGTATGCTATGTGGGGAATAATCCCTAGGTGTGAAAGGCATTCTGGAAAAAGGGTATTTCTGGGACTGAAAACTGAAAATGAGAAAATGCAAGTGAAAGAGAACAGAAGGCGAGCTGGGCAGGGCAGGCCTCAGGAGCCTGTGGTTAACTGCTGGAAGACAAACACAGGGAGAGTAGGAAATTAGCAAGAAGAATGACAAATCTCACTTTGAAGAGACAGATCTGTTTTGATTGGCATTATGGTAATATGTTGAAATAGAGTACAAGAGAATATAGTCTATTCAGAAAGGACAGATTGGGGATAAAGGAAAATTTGGTGCAAGCACTTATTTCCACATGCAGGAAGTAGGAGGAGACTGGCGGCTAGAAAAATTTATGGGTTAAGTTTCAAGGGGAACCTTATAGCCGGGGTTTATTGCAGTCCTCAAAACCAAGAGGAAAAACCTGGTTTGGCCTTCTTTCAGAAGCTTAGCAAAGATGACAAGTCCCAGAATTTTATTGGTGATGGGGATTTTAACTAACCCAACATCTGTTAGAAAAGCAATATACAAATACATTCAAGGGGGCATTAACAATATGTCTTGAATTTAAGCTGGCATTGGATTTTGTCTTCATTGATAGGTAGGCATTCTGTAGGAACATTGTTGTCCCAAGTAAAGTAATATGGCAATGCCAAGGAGATTACCATTTAAGTGCCCACGTGGGATTATAAGGACTATAGATTTGTATAGATTATATATTTATGATTGTAAGGATCATAGATTTTGAGCTGAAGAGACCTTAGAAAGCATCTAATCCTACTCCCAGTTTTAAAGGTGAGGAAATGGAAGCCCAGAGAGGTCAAGGGATTTGCCCGCGAGTTCACACAGGTTACCACATAGCAGAGTTGAGACCTCCATTTTCAGCACGCTTTAAGAGTCAGGGACCAACTGGGAATGACCCCTCACCTTGAATGTTTTCCTTAGCAAACTGGCCTCCTTGGAACACTCATCTACCTACTGAACTTCTGTTCCTTCCCTTTTAGGCATCAGTTCCTTCCTCAAACCAATCTGGGGTACCCCTCTCTCGCCTTCAGCCTGGGGTATGAGCCTTTCTGTATGGAAATTTGGTACACCCCAGATCCAGCATCCAAATTTTCTCTCTCCTGCTACCACATATTCCAAACTACAAGTGGGTTTTCCCACTTCCACCCAGAAACCATCCCAGATAGAGAAGACATAATATAAAAACAGCACTAGACTTGGAGTCAAGATTTGCGTTGGCATTCTCCCCAGTGACACCACCCTCTGTGACCTTGGGCACGTCAATTCTCCTTAGGCCTCAACCTCCCCATCTATAAATGTGAGGGAGTTGGACTAGATGATTTCAAATGTCCTTTCCAGTTGTAAATACTGTGGTTCTGCGGATAGTTTGAAAACGTCCCACTAAACCACTAAATAACCACCGTGTTCTCACACACACACACACACACACACACACACACACACACACACACACACACACACACACATATACACACACGCGTGCACGCATACGCACCCACATGTGCGCATGCACACACACACGCAGAGAGTACTACACCTTTCAGCATTATGGAGACACACATTATATAATAATTAAAGGCACAGAAACATACCAAAAATGAATGCCAATTTACATATCTGTGTCCCTCCTCTCCAGCATTTTCCCCACTCCACACCCACCTACCTCTGTTCATCAATACCATTTAATCTGTATCTCAGGCAAGTAGCCAAATGCATTATTACATAAAGCTTTAACCATCTGATCCTCATGACATCCCTGTGAGGTAGGTTTTATTATTATACCTATTTTACAGATGAGGAAAATGAGGCCAAGGAGGACTAAAAGACTTGACTTGCTAAGAAATACCTCAGACAGGACTCAAACTCCAATCTTCACAGCTCTTTACAAGGTTACCTACTTGCCTCACGATTTCCTTAGATCAGTTTTTCACAATGCTTCCTTGGTTCTGGTCAGATATGTTGATAGGGTTGCTGGAGAACATCTGACAAAGACAAAGAAATGCTTATAGTGTCCTAATGATGTCTGTTTTTAACGGTGCCATCACTTAAGCTACAGAATGGCAAAGTAGGAGGCAGCTTGTTAAAAAAGTGTGGGAGAAAGAACACTGGACATGAAGGAAGGAGACACCTGGGTTTCAATTACATTTTGAACCCATTAGCCGGGTTCAAATGACTAGTGGCAAATCACTTTATCTCTTTGATAGTAAGTTTTCTCATGTGAAAAATGGTGAAAAGAAGTACCTTTATTCACAGGGTTGTTCATGAGGATTGAATGTGATCATGTGTGGAAAGTGCTTTGCAAACCTATGTGTTAGCTAATAAGAACAGCTAAACTTCTTTTTCTGGTAATTTTCACTGCAATTACAGGGCACTGCCACTAAGTGCTGACAGTTACTACTGTGGTCAATTCAAAAACTGGACTTTCACTAAGGTTCAAGTTCATAGCTCTTTGCTTAAAGTCAGCAGATGGATAACCACAAATTTGCCAAATTTAGGAATATTAAAAATGTATGTGTCTATAATTTAACAATTAAACTACCTGGAGTTTTTTTATTCATGGTATCAAATTCATGACTTTCCCCCAAGCTCCCATATTTCTACAGTAGCTATGTTACACAATTCACCCCATCTCAGCTTGGTGCCAACTGTCCCTACAGCAGTTTATTTTCAATTTCACGGCTTGATACCTTCTCTATCAAGACAGTCTTTTCTATAACTGCTTCCCTGCTAGTCTGGAGATACATCTTTCTTGCTTCTGAGTTAGATTATTATTTCCAGGAACAAGGTTTTTCCCTTTCTTTCTTCATTCACTTATCCTGCCTCTTTCTGGTTTTCTCCTAGCTGAAAGCCTCTGCTCAGGAAGCATGCTAGCTAAGAGTCCCTAGTGCTCTGTGTTTATCTTCCAAACATGGAAGCCCAAATTAAAAAAAATATACATATACATATACATATACATATATACTACATATACATATACATATACATATATATATGTATGTATGTATGTATGTATGTATGTATGTCACTCTTAGGCCTTCTCTTTGCTCTGTACTGCAAACTTAATCTGGTTATAACTTGACCAACTACATTCTTGCAGAGTTCTTTGGTTTCCTCTAGCA